CCTGGGGACATCGTAACACGGGATTTGCGGAGGCGCATGTATTTTATTCCCTTTTGGATTATCTGAATGTTCGCCCAAACCTTGGGGATCGTATAAACATTCAGTTCTCACCTAAACCTCTCCTCCAAGGTGACATGCGTAGTGAAAATGAAAAGTTGTTTCGTATAGAAAAACCCACCCCTGGTAACGATGTGAACTCTATTTTGCTTTACAGTTTTTTTCAAAAGAACAGTATTACCGAAAAGTCCATCAGCGTTTGGGACGTTTTAAATTTTGATATTTCTGTGAGTGTTGTGGATGGTATTTATAGTGCACGTGGGAAATACCCCTCCGCTTTAGGGAACATTGTGATTGTGGACTACAAGCAACTTATACCTGCCTTTGCCGAACAAAGCTGCTCTTTTGGTCCTCAATCATTTACACCCAAAAGGGGAGTTTTTTTACCCTCGACCATGGATATGTTTGGTATCCCCACCATGCTCTCCCAGTTTAATATTTTGGAAAAGGTGCCTACCCTTGCGGTCACCATGACAGATCGAAGTCGTATTTATTATTTGCCAACGGAAGATCGAACAAGGGAAATGGTGGAGCGAAGCAATGTCATTATGCGTCAGGGAGTGGGTCTGGACTTCAACGGTACCGTGTATTTCCCCTTGTCTGAGGCCATGGATTCATTTGATATGTTGAAGATTATACTTGTTTCTTCTCTCACATGTTTTGTGATTGGAATTGTCGCACTTTGTGCTCTCTTGTTTTATGCACTTTTAAACACAAATGCGGAGGAACGTCGATTTGAATTTGCCATGATACGAGCCCAAGGCTTGAACAAGACGCATCTTGTGATACTCCTATTGACACAATCATTGGCCTTTATTATTCCCGGTTTAGCCACTGGAGCAGCTTTTCTTGTAGGGCTCAATGCCCTCATTGAGTATCTACTCTCCCGATTCACGGCGGCAACACCTCGCATTTTATTCGTCCCGCTGATACCATTGTTTGTGTCTCTTGGACTGGGCCTCGTCCTGCCACTTTTAACAGGTTGGAGCCTTCTCTCACGTGTCCTTGGAGGTAGTTTGCGTGATGCCTTGGATGTATACCGTCAGGTGTCAAACGAAACGAAGGTTGTGATGGTAAAACTGGAGGAAATGGGCATTTCAACATGGCAATTGATCCTTGGAGCATTTCTTGTTGTGGCAGGATTTATTGTTTACTACTTGATTCCATTCAGCTTTATCTTTGAAAACATGATGCTTTTGTTCCTACTATTAAACCTTGTACTTGTCGTTATGGTGGTGGGTATATGTTTTATTGTGACTGTCGCAGAGCCGTACATTCAGCTAGTGTTTCTTTGGTTAATGGTATGGGGAAATGAAAAGCGACTATTAACAATTGTGAAGAAGAATTTATATGATCACCAAAGTCGTAATGCAAAGGCCTTTATGATGGTGTTGATTAGTGTGGGGACCATTATTTCCTCCGGTGTGATGTTTGTGATGTTGTCGAATGCCTCTGAGGATATGACGCGTCTTACGAACGGTGCCGATATCAACATTGCCTCTTCCGCATTTGATGTGCCTTTGGACGAGAAGGAATTAAATGCTTTTCTGGAGAAACGACGTGGTTTGTATGTGGAACAGTGGGCATATCACAGCTTTCCACTTGACAATTACCCTCAAATGGTTCATTCGTCTCGAATGGGTACGATTGTTGGATCACGTAACCCTATGTGCATTGTGGCGGTGTCTGAACATTTCTTTAATACTGTTTTTCCAGAATACATTATGGAAGAAGCTAAAGACTCCCGCTACAGTTACAAACTTACAGTGGACGGTAAGTATGATTTGGTGAGAAGTATGTACGAACATAAACCTTTGCCTTCCGGTACAGTTGGTCAAATCATTGCAACAGGACTTCCATTGGGTGCAGAATTGCCAAATATATTAAACAAGAAAACCTACATTATACCTGCCTTGGTGTCGTCTGCAGTTCGTGATAGTATGGGTACTGAAGTTGGAGGAAGCATGATATTAGAATACAATTACCGCGTGTCAGATACGATTGTAACGACAAGATTTGGTGTTGAACCACGAGGCCTTATGAGGCGTGTATCAGGATTTCCCGACATCTCGCCTTTCCCTAACAAACTGGTCGACAGTGAGGTGCTGCTGCCACGGAGTTACTTCAAGACACTGGTGAGGCCCTGGGCCATGGATTTTGGAGATAAAGAGAATTTTACATTAGCACCAGGCACCGTGACGGAGGTTAGGCAAAAAAAACTATTTGTACGGCTGCGAAAAAACATTAGTACAAAACAACGTATTACTTTTTTGAATGAAATTCAGGCATATTTGGATTTAACATTTCACTCAGCAAGTGATACACAAGAGGTGATGAAGGATTTGAGGGTTATCCGTGAATTTATTATGTACTTTTTTTATTTTACCTCCGTTATATGCATCTCCCTCTGTACATTAATGCTTTGGATAACGTTTGTGGCCAATGTGCGTTTGAACTCTCGAACGTTTATGGTATTACGAGCAGTGGGATGCCGTAAAGGGCAAATTGCGCGTATTATTCTTTATGAGGCCCTCAGTATTGTTCTTTCCGCCTTTTTGCTTGGTGTGGTTGTGGGGGTGATTGTCGGATTAACGTTGGCACTTCAGCTTGTGGAGGTAATGGTTTTGCCATTTCGATTTACTTTGCCTTACAAGTTAGTTTTTGTGCTCTTTGGTCTTAGCATGATTGCTGCGGTGGTTGGCTCCATGCTTCCTTTCAGGACAATTGCCAATAAATGCATTAGTTCGGGGTTGAGGAGCCTGTAACATACATGTTCATTCCCTCCCTCCCACCCGCCCGCCAACCCCTTCTTCCACCGATTGAAAATAATAAGGGAACGAGGTTGCCCTCTTTTTTTTTTTTTTTTTTTCCTTTTTCTTTGGTTTTTGTTGTTTGTTTTTTAGCTGAAGAAGGAAAGAGAATCCTTTTGTCTGTGTGTGTGTGTGTGTCTTTTAGCACGGCGTTTACACCCATGTATATATATATATATTTAAATGTATTCTTGTGTAAGTCAATTTTTGTTTCCATTTTATTTAGTACACTACGTACATGTAAGCATATATACACATGTGTTTACATGTATATATATATATATATAGAGAGAGAGAGAGAGATTTATTTTTATTGCGCCCTCTTTTTCTTTTTTTTTTTTTTTTCTTTTTTTTTTTTTTTTTCTTTGCTGGGGCGTATTGTTCGGCTTAAACAACAGTGCCGCTTATAGTTATCAAAATTATTATTATTATTATTATTATTATTATTATTTCTATTTTGTG